TTTTTTTTTTTTTTTTTTTTTTACACCTTGTCGAGAGTGAAAGAATTGTAAATTTAGTATCAAAAACTTGAAACGTCTCCGAGGATGATAAAAAATTTCTTTCATGGCTAAATCGACCAGGATCTTGATTTTTTCTTGTCATTTTATTAAACTTTGAGTGTTAAAGTTGAACGATACGAATTCGAGCAACCAATGTTCAAAGTCCAATGAAGAAAAAGAATTCATTCTACGAAGCCATAGTAGATTTCGTTACGAAAGATATTTTCCAGCGGTTTCACAGTCGTTTGAAGTTTCACAATTTTAAACCTCACCTCATGATTTCACCGAAGCAATTATGCTCTCAGAAATTATTACTATGCCACGCGTAACGACTGTTAATTGTTGTGAAAATCTGTCTTACTGGCATTGTTAACAATGATCCTCTTAATTAAGAGAATGGGGAAATGGTGCATTGAATAATTGAGCTAGAGAGAGAGGGAATTAAAGCAGAATAATTAAGATCCTTGGTGGTATTCTGTGTTCTTCAGGTTGTTTAGCACATACCCGCGCTTTAGCACATTCTTCGCGCAAATTTACTGTTAAAAGCATCTATTATCATCGCATCGTAGAATCCATTCTTAGTTACTTACGCTCACTCAAATGCAATTTCGTGAACCTTTGAAAACGATCTTTTGAGCCAAGTATGTGAACACGAAGATTAACGTACGAGTAATGCAATTTTCACCTAAATAGCTTATAGCTAACGTATTTTAATTTCAATTGAACAGCTCGCACGGAACAAAATTTTCAAATAGAAAAGATCACTCTGAATCTTGATTTAACTTGTTGACAATAATCAAATTCACTAAAGTTGCATAAGATTGTATCCTAAATGTTAACGAAATTACAATTTAAAAAAAAGCAATTAATCAATCTTAAAAAAATCTCACCTGACCGACAGATGAAAAAAATAAAAAAAAACAGAAATTCGAAGATTGATTGTCCAACCCTAAGTAAGAGTTAGTTATTTGACACACCGGCCGTAAAGTTACAGTTATATTACCGGGAAAAGAAATTCCCAGCTCGTGGGAATATTATTACCTTCGTCGCAATTGAAAACTAAAACGAGCCTGCCGAGAATAGCGCCAAGAGCTTTCACGCTCTCGGTTTTTCCAGTTCCAGCTGGCCCGGTAGGGCTGCCGCCCAAACCGAGCTTCATCGCCTGAGTAAGTGCCAAGAAACACCTTTCGGTTAATGACGTTTGAACCAGTCCCACCGCCGCGCCTTGATACTCGAAACGGTACGGAAATTCGGCACCGGCACACCGTACAACCGCTCCTTTGTTCTACAATCAATATGCCGTGTTACGGCGAAAATTGGTATTTCGTTTAAAGTCCAATCTACCTGATATTAGTTCTAACAGATCTCCCCCTCGCCGATACCGGCGAGGCGATATTTAATTAATTCTGGACATTTATTGCACGCTGTTGGCTGAAATTAATTACAGCAGGGCCCCCTACAATGCGAGACATATACGTTATACAAATCCAAGAGCGCAAAAAACTGTAACTAAATGAATAGTTCTTTTGTTCTGTCTTATTAAATAAGTATTCGAAGGAATATTCTTCTTGTTGGAACTTTTCTGGAGGATTTCTTTAAACTTGATGAAGAAGCTCCAGCAGAAGCTGCTTCCATTTTCTTCTAGTTGTGCGAATTGTTGATTCATTTCTGTCCAATTTCTTGCTAGCTAATCACCAGATCATCGATCGATCAAGAATTTCTAATTTTTCCTTCTAACGATATAAATCTTCTGCTCAGGTCATCTTTTCTGGAGATGCTTTTGGAGTCATGGCTGGAAAATATTATTTCTTATTTCTGACATTAAATATAGTGAAAAAAAGATTGCCTCATTTTATGATCGATCGATATCTAGTTTGTAATTGAAATGAATTCTTTTTTGAATTAACACAACTAATTCTGCACAGAAATTGAACTGCTCCACATAACACACTTTAAACAATCCTTCCTTGTCGCACAAGAATTAATGCAAAACTGTGCTTCCAGTCAATTTAAAGACGCACGTATTTTCATATCAGAGGTGAGTTTTTTTTCACCAACTTTTTAAATCGCGTAATTTTTAGTCTGCGTTATAGGAGATTCTACTGTATTGTTGAGGAAGGTACTTAAACTTTTCTCTCTCTCTTAATAACAGATACATGATGTATTATTCCATAAGTAATAATATAATTCGCTACGTAAAGAAATAAAAAAAAAAAAGAGTTGTAGAATAATAATGCAAGGAATATAAAAACTCGAGAATAAAAGAAGTATTCACACGTTTGTAATTTCTTAGGTGTTTGATATTTAACGGTGGAGTAGGTTACAAAGATTGTAAAATATCCTTTTGCAAGAACTAGAATATCGCGCCAAAATTAGTAAAAACCATTGTCTTTAAATCATTACAAATCCTGTATAGAGCTGCAAGAAAACACTCGCATATCAGTTTTTGATTCTCGAGTTTTTATATTACTTTCATATTATTATTACATAATTCATTAATGGAAATTTTTGTATTGTAGTGAACTATTTCATCGCTAATATGTCATTTCTTTTCATAAAAATATCGCCAAAAAAAAAAAACTGGCTGTGCCACTGTAAACTAGATGAAACTAATATTGAAAACAAACTTTAAAATAACGAAAGTATTTTCCTGAAATTAGATAGGGTAGAAATTGGATAGCTTTTAAGTAACATCGAAATTACACGCAATTAGAATTTCTTAAAAAATAAATTTCAGCAAGAGAGTTCAATGCGAGAATTTTTTTTTTTCTTTTTCCAGAATTAAGCTGTTAATTCTAGTATTAAACCACAAAGCTTCTGATGTTTAATGGTGCAGGTCTTACGGTTCTGTAACTTCTTAGTTGTCTCTGCCAGGCCCAAACACTGGACTCTTCCTGTTGTGCGACGTTTAAAAGATTTCTGACTATCTCCAGATGGTGAACTGTATCGAGCAGAAGGCCACGTGCTTTTAATGCCGTTAATTTATCACCAGCGTCTTCCAAACCCCTGTATCTAGCTCGTTGTGTCTCTAGATATTCAACGAGCTTCTTTAAAGCTGAACGACTTTCCTTCAAAGCGGCTTCGCATCGCTCCGTGAAACGAATCCTCTCCGATAGCAGTAGAACCTTGATAATAAACGTATCGTAAAGGAATAATGACGTTAATTATTATATCCTGCGATAAAAAATTAATGAAATAGTTAATAATTCTTATTTGGAAAAGAAATTCGCTTGCTTGTTCGAAATTTTCCAATAACTCATACGGAATAAAATATTGTATGTATTTTATAAATATTTTCTCATTGTTGTTGTAAACTATGTTAAATACTTTTACATTGTTATTAATATCACTGTTATTGTTTTATAAATATATTTGTATTCAATTAGTTTCTGATATTTAAAGATTTATTTACTACTATTAGCATGCATACATTATATTATTTTATAAATTATGCTACTTTATATTATCTTATTATATTGTTACGGGATATTTTAAATATTGTTGAATACTTTTATTTTTTACTGTCGTTAATG